AGTATATATATTCTTGATCAGCATCAACAGCCGAGTCGATCTAGCCATGTCCGTCTGTCCGTCTGTCCGTCCGTCTGTCCGTCCGTCTGTCCGTCTGTCCGTCTGTCCGTCCGTCTGTCCGTTTCTACGCAAACTAGTCCCTCAGTTTTAAAGCTATCTCAATGAAACTTTGCATATAGTCTTTTATATGCTCTCACTGCTATATATGTCGGAACTGGCCGGATCGGACGACTATATCATATAGCTGCCATACAAATGTTCGATATATTTTTAGAAAAAAAAATTATAACTTTGCTGTTTTTCAAAATTTTTACACCATTTTTTAGACATGACCATTTTATATTATTTTAGAATTTTGGTAAAAATTTTATGAAAATCGGACGACTATATCATATAGCTGCAATAGGAACGATCGGGAAATTAATAGAAAAAAAATTATAGATTCGTTGTTTTTCAACGTATTTTCATCTACTCTGGGATATAAGCTTATTTTATTATTCTAGAATTTTGGTATAAATTTCAAAAAAATCGGACATCTATATCATATAGCTGCCATATAAACCGATCCGTAGATGTATACAAAATGTAAAGCTGGGAATGCAAAACTGTAACTGTCAAACTGTAAACATAATAAGTATAGGTAAAATGTAATGAAATAATATCTGCAAGGGTATACAAACTTCGGCGTGCCGAAGTTAGCTTCCTTTCTTGTTTTATTTTCATTTTCATCATTTTTTATGCCGCCTGCCCCACATGTGTGGAGGCTTGTGCCTTGCATTTCCTGTTTGCTGCCAAATTAGTTGATATTTTTTTACGTTGATGAATTTCATATTAATTTGCGCAATTTGTGGCGTCTGTGTGTGTGTGTGGGCAGGCAGAGCCTAAGAGCCTCATTAATACGCTAGGGAAAGGGGTGGAGAGGAGAGGGAATGCAGTGGAAATGCGGGGAAATCTAATCTCTGACCATTAGGGCGCCCACATGTAACCCAACTCGAAAGGAAATCGCTTCAAAAAGCGGCCGCAAAAGGTAGAAAATATTTAACTGGGTAGCCAGCCACTCGAAGAAAAGCTGTGGATCTTTTAAAATGGGTTTTAAGATATGGAATGTAGTAACCCCTTATAAAATGTTGAAAAATTGAGTAAATCAAATTATGATCAAATTATGATATGATAAATAGATGATATTATAAAAAAAGCTTTTTCCAATAATTGTGTGACTTCATTATATAGAATTCATACGGGAATATAATGGAATAAATACAAAATACATATAAAATTGAACTCATAATTAAAAAAAATAATGCAGACCATTAAACACCTTATTTTCTACTTGCAAAAAGTAAATCCTACGAAAATATTTGGATTTCCCCTACAATACTGGGAGTTTCTTCCTCTGCAGATGAAAGAAAAGCCACCAGACAGATCGCTTTGGTAACCTCAGAGGCCGGCTGCTGCAGGGTGACATGGAAATAGAGATGGAAAAACGCCGAAAAAAATAAAAATATCTTAATGATGGCGACCGCCTCGGTCCGTTGAGGAATTTCAGCTGACGAATGTTTATGATAAATGGCCCAAGCCCCCACCTCTCCTCCCTCTTGACAAGCTTGTTACGTGGAAAACCAGAGGCGGGCCAAACTGGGAAATTCCCCCACCCAACCCTTACCGCCCTGACCTCCCCCCCCCAAATTGCGCAAAAGCCAAGAAACGAAACGTAACGAAACGCAAATTGAAATTCCAAGATCAGAATCAGATCGAAGGGAGGCACAGAGAGTGACCGGAGGGAGAGCAGACAACAACAAATTATGGCAACGCACCAGGAAAACAAAGGCAGCGGAGAGACGGCGCAAAAAAATTTAATGCAATGAAAATCAAATAAATTGCAATGAAAAAGCCAAAGCTACCACCAACAACAGAAACAACAGAAACAACAATGACAACGATAGCAATCACTGAACATGGTGGGCCCCCACGACGACCAGGGCAGCAGCAAGCCCCAGACAAGTATTTGAAAAATTTATAATAGGCATGCAAATGAGGGAGATCGAGGGAGGCAGCCCAGGGGGAATCGAAAATGGATAGGATTCGTTGTGAACCAAATACAAAAAAAGGCACACAAAACAGGAACCCCGAACCCAAGCAGGGTAAAAAACAAAAAACATAAAAAAATTGAAATGCCCGCGATCGCCAATTGAACGATATTCAAAACTGGACTGGACTGGCGAGGAGGAGCGAGATCCAAAGCCAGAGCCAAAGCCAGAGCCACCCATCCAAGCCCACTTGAAACCCCTTTACCATCTTTAACCCGCCAGATTCCTCCTGGAATTCCCCTCGGAATCAGGCAACGCATAAATTTTGGAGCAAACTCTGGCCAACTCTCTGGGGGTCTGCGATACCCTATCAATTTATTTATTTATTAACAAACTTGGGAATATGTATACCAATAATTACATACCTATAAATACATAGAGTACAGAGTACATGTATTTACTTAAAATTCAGACAGCATTATTTTATAAAGAGAATAGCTTTCTTTATATTATATACAATATATTTATTTATATTTTATATTTATTTATTTACAAACTATAGAATATTTATACCTACATTTTTAATTCTAGATATACATCTCTAAATACATATACTATAGTATATTTATTTATTTAAAATCCACTCAGCATTATCTTATAATCTTATATATATTAATTTTTTTTATAACTAATATTATAAGATTTGGTAACACCCTGAACTTGTAGAGGGCTTTGTGAGAGCTTTGAGCCCACATTTAAGCAAAGCCTTGCTCTGTATGGGTAATATTTTATTTTTTCTTACTTTTCAGGGTATTTAAGTGGTCGGTTTCTTTAGTTTTTCTGTCCTTTCGACTGTCGTTATTTTTATATATGTTTTTCTTGATTTTTTCTCTTGCATTTTGCATTTTGCCAGAATGGCGCGCGTTTGCCGTGAATGTGAATGTGAATGTGAAATCAGATGTCGATGGCTTTCACCCGCGGAATGCGAGCAGCGGGAAATTAGCTCAAATGTCATAGTAAATAATAGTAATAATAATGGAGGGAAAAAAGGGAGGAAAAAGGGAGAAAATCTGCAGCGAGGGGGAGTTAAGAGGAAGGCTTTAATTATGACAAAAGTAAGAGGCAGAGGCGAAAAGACAGGCATCTCTGCAACAGTTGCACATCTGTGAGAACGAGCTGGCTTCGCACGCCCACGGAAAAGCCAAGAGAAAAACTCAAGAAAACTCACAAACACCACACACACACTCAGCTATAAGTCGGTCGGATATGTTGGTGTCAAATGAAAAAGCTTCTCTGTCATTTATGCTGCCACTGCCACCGTTTGCTGCCGTTGCAATTGCAGTGGCCACTATTTCTATTCGCTGCCAAGTGAGTCATCATCAGAGAGGCGACACTTGGCTGAGCAGGCTAAAAAAGAAACGGCGAAAAAGGAGCCACATGGCGAAATATGATATTTTAGGGTCTTGGAGGAAAGCAAATCAAATTGGAAAAGATTTTATATACAAATCGAAAGGCTGTAAACCGATTCTGATTTCTGCGAATTTGGAATATAATAAAACCATTGAAAATTATCAACAATTCGTTTTCTAATTAATTTTAATAATGAATGCACCAAATTTATATTCAAATTGAAATTGATTAAGTCATCATTTTCGGCTTGAGCCATAAAATTATTAATATAAATTCAATAATTTTTGAGGGAATTCAATTAATTCCATCAAATCACAGCGCATAAAATGCCAAATTTATTTATCACGACTGGGAACTTGATTTTATTTGGCTCCATTATCGCCTCCTAATGACCGACAAGAGCCATCAAAAAGTTAGGAAACGTTACCTGAAGAACAAGACCCCGATTATAATATTTTGATCGACCTGTGTCGGTGTCGCAATATTCCCCAATAGATCGGAAAATCTCCCGACCTCTCTCGTGTTTTGTGTCTGTTTTCCTCGTTTATTTCTCACTTGGCTTTTAGAACAAACAAATAAAAAAAAAAAATAAAGAAATAAATAAAAATGGGGAAAATATTTATGAAAAATGACAACTGTCACTCACCAACACACACGATGCACACACACTCTTTCTCCGGAAAAGCTGTTTTCCATTGGGGTGGCGCTCGTTTTATTTTTATTGTTTGTTCTTTCTTCGTTTTTATTTTTTAAGACATTTTTTTGTAGTCAAATTCGTGTTGTTAACATTTTTTTTGGTTTTTTGTTGCTCGACTTGGCGACTTTTCAAAAAAATTCTAGAAATTATGGCCCAACAACTGCAAGTAAGGGGTAGGGAGTGTGTGTGTGATCAGTGTGTGTGTGTGGGAGGCTGAGGGTTGCCAGTCAGCGAATCGCATAAATTAATTAAAAGTATCGGATGGATATCGGAAGACTGCCCCTCTATTATTATTTATGTGCTTTTTGGCATAATTTTTAGCCACTCGCTTTGGAAATTTGTATTTTCGGAATATTTATGACACTGGTTCTGCGCTGGGAATTTCTCTGTGCGTCTTCTGCGGGGGCCAGAGAGCCTGGGGCTGTCTTGGTTTTATGTCTTTTTAAATGGACAGGCAAACACTAAAGGGGAGTTTAGCATTTCGGCATTAGGCAGCAGGGGTATTCAGGAACAGAAATTGTTTATTTTTATAGCCGCCTTACCCCTTAAGTATGTAGCTTTTCCAAAATACATTTGTAAATATTGATAGTAGGAGTCTATAGTTTTATTTCCCTGAGAATTCTTGGGTGACCCTAGTCCTCGGTCTCTTTACACACACGTGTCTTGTCTTCCGAGGCGCCCAGTTAGTGGTTTATTTATAGGCTTCGCATTTATTTGCCTGTCGGCGAGCTTTTTTGTGCCACTTTAGGCCTCAATTATTTTGAAATTCATTAAAAGTGTCGTCTATTTTGAATATACTTATGTGGTAGTGTGTGTGCTCCCCCACCTTGGTTAATTTTCTGATTCGTTTTCTGTCTTACTTACAGCTGACACCGCCAGAATGCATCTCTGATCGCTCCACGAGGTAGAGAGAGGTGTAAACAGCAGAGGAATCCAGCAGAAGTTCGGCGGAGAAGAGCTAGTGACAAAGAGAACAAAAGGTAACTAAACTGCTAATCTTAATCCTGACGGCGCCCACGCAACTGGCACTGAAAAAATATGATCGGGAGAACGATCTACCCCCGGATCCTCGGGAGTGGGCGTAGGCAGCTTCGATTCCGCACCCATAACCATAACCCTGGCTCCAGTTCTGGACCGAAAGCGGCTACAGTCCGGGCTCCTAACCCATACAAATCGTTTTTTTTTTTTTTCGGGGCCCACGCACTCTCAGAAGAAGATATATGTATATACATATATATTGGGGAGTCGATGGAGCAGGAGGCAACCATCCTCAGCCACATCTCCACCTTGGTACCATTCTATGCCAGGCCATTTCATTTCATTCCAGAATTGCAACAGAAACAGGTGGGGCGAAGACCATCCAGCTTCGTCATCATGATGATCGCGAGATCATCATAGGGGGGGTACGGATGATCATCATCATTATCATCATCCTTTGTGGCAGCAGTAGAAAATCCTGTTGGCTGTCGTTGGAATGCAGATTTCGAACTCGTTTACATGCGAGTTTCTTCACCTTCTGCGCCACCGCCCTGGCGCTAAGACCAGCCCTCCAAGCAGCTGGTGCACTGTAAGAAACTAGGAGTTGGTTAATATAATTCTGCCTGTCATAAGATAGTTATCAAAATTTTTAACTTGGAGCTTGATCTTTCCTACTTCATAGATTCTTTTCTATGCTTAGTTTATTTTAAGCCCTCTCTCTCTCTCTCTTCTGGATTTTCCAAGTTTGTAATTAAAGTCGAAAATATACGTAAAGTCCTTCCAAAACATATAAAACACTGGCGTCAGGATATTACCCCTTTTCGCGAATTCTTCAATCCTCCAACTTAAACGGCCCCTTATTGGGCGCCAAACAGGTCGCTCCTGCGCTTTCGCATATGTATTGGGTTAGGGGTTTGGGTGGTTCGTAGTGTGTGTGTGTGTGTGTGTAGTTGTGCGACTTGGCATCTTGTTTTTGGGCTCCGGTTCCGGTCGCGCTCAAAAGAAGATTTCAGCTGCTGCTGCTGCTCCCGCTGTCGCTTCTCCGGCTGGCAAAACAGGTTCCATTTGCCCAAGAATTTTCGCCATACCTTTCGCCCCGAGTGTGTGTGCTGTGCACAGTGAAGACCCTCCGCAGTGAACTGAATTCTAGTTGGGGAGAGTGACCATGACGAAAAAGCGTAGCGGGCGTAGCTTTCAATGAAATTAATTGCAGAGCCATTTGAAATTGATAGGCTTTTCGGTAATAAGTTGGCATTATAGGTACCCTACCCGACCTCGTACTTGATTTCCAGGGCTTAAGTGTGGCACTGCCTGTTGTGGGTTTCACATGGGCTTCCCCCGTGAGACTCTTGCCAAGATTTTCAGTTACCTTTAATCATCTGCCACTGTGATTGGGAGTCGTCCGGAGTTTGTGATTTTTCTATTGCTCTTTTTCTGCCAGCGATGACGATGACGATGATGATGATGATGAACTGGCTCTCAGGTTTTATTGAACCCTATGTGGCAGCCAGAACAACTTGTAGCAGGTGTTAGTGTTTTACAAGCTGTTAACTGCCGCTGCTAATGGCCAAAAGCAGTCGGGATCGGGGTTGGGGGGATCGGAGTGGCCTACACTCTTATGACAAACAGCAATTCATATGGATAAATTCCACCACCATTTGTTGGTAGGCCTAGGCTCCGGCGTCTTTGCTACGCCTCGCACTTATTTAATGAACTTAACTGTGAGCTGTGAGGTCTTAAGTCTGAGACCCGACCCGAGACCTTCTCTGGGATCTGGGAGACCCTCCTCTTATGCCCCTCTTTATACCTCTTCCGCTATTCAATTCAATTGTCTGAAGACACTGGGCGCCACGCCCAAGCCATCATCATAGTCGGCGAATGGCTTTTCTAACAGTTTTATGCTAATTTTTGACAAGCAAACAGACAGCGAGCCACTAAGTTAGTACACAAGAAGAAAACGAAGAAGAATCGGAATCCATAACCCATTCTCAGATTTCAAAAACGAGAACAAAGCGGCGAAAAAGACTTAATCAAGATAGCAGAGTCGAGTTCTCTCGAGAAAGAGATTAATATATGATGTGTCTTTATCTCCGTTTCAAAGCCGAAATGCTTTGTCATTTCAATTAAGTGTCATTAGCCAAGTCAGTTGGCCAATAAGTCAATAAATCAGTTTTTGGCAAGTTAAGGAACTGCTTGGCTTTTGCTCAGTGTATATGGGAACTCGAACGTATTTATTCGCTATTAATAAATGTTTTTCAATTCGGCATCCCCTTGCCTTGATTAATAACCCTTCTTGCTGAATGGTCCGCAAAATGCGTCAACAAAAGGGGGCGTCGTTGTCCATGGCTAATCAAATTAACTTATGGCTGGAGATTACTACCACTCTGTGAAAGCCGAAAACAAACAGCCAATTAATTGGGCTGACAACAGCTGCCTGCTGGCCGAAACAGCTGACCGAACGGAGCTGAGAGAGCCATAAGGAGCCAAGATCATCGGCCATATTTGGTAGCAACTATAGTAGCAACATGTTGCCGTTGTTAATGTTAATCTTTGGCCATTTAATTGTGCAAAAAAAGCACAAACACAGACACACATGATGCACGGAACCATTAACAGGCCCCGGGCGGTTGCTTGTTAGTCAGTCACTACTGGAATATCGCCATCAGTGCTTAGATTATGGCCAAGAGTTGTTAACAACATGTTGCCAGACGACAATAGCAGACGTTGTTGTCGCCATTTCCCAATTTAAATACAGAAATTCGTATTTATGGAACACAAAGCTAGTCACTCAGCAGCAGCATTTTCCTTGGTCTTGATTGTTTTGAAAATAATCGAAATAAAGAGGTTTATTATCGAGTAATCGGCTGCAATTATCGGTGTTGCATGTGCAGCAATTAAAGATTACCTGCAGCCGCAATAGCAGACGTTGTCTTCGCCCTTTTTCAATTTAAATAAACTGAAATTTAAACAGAGAAATATTTATGGAACAGAAAGCTAGTGACGCTCAGCATTTTCCTTGCATTTGTTTGTTCTGAAAATAATCGAAATAAAGAGGTTTATTATCGAGTAATCGACTGCAATTATCGGTGTTGCATGTGCAGCAATTAAAGGTAACCTGCAGCAGCAAAATTGCACTTAATTTGAGCAACTTTGAATTGATATCTCCAGAGTGACGTCATGGACCCATAATGGACCCATGATGGACCCTTTTTTCCCCCTGTTTTGGTTTCTTTACCTTTCTGCTTTTTTTCGTTATTATTCTCGCAGCGCCCCATTCATTTTCTCGGCTCTGCAGTTTCCAGGGCTTGGTTTTTGCCACTGCTGCTGCTGCTGCTGGCTCAGGAATGCGCATTAATTTTCAACACACGCAACTGGCAACTGGCGAGGAGCAAGTGGACGCGGGTTACGACGTAGCCGTTCGGGACCACAGAAACCTGCGTCAATTTCGCGCTTTACTTTTGTTGTCAGATGTTTTAAATCAGCGTCGAGCTGGTTTGGGGCTCTCCGTGCTGCCTGCTGTCTCCTACTCCCGTGTAGGCAGTCCGGTTTGCTCCTTGCGTTAACAAGTGGCCACCATCAGCAAAGAGGAGCAGGCACTGGCACAGCCTCAGCATGCAACAGCAGCAGCGGCAGCTGCACGCGCCTCGGACCAATAATGACTATCAAATGGGAGCCGCGTTGCGATTTATGTGCGTCAGGAGTTGGGCTGGAGGAGGAGAAGGTGGAGCTGGAGGAGTCTTTCGCTCTCCAAAGGGGTGTGCCTAAGGGGGCAGGACCGAGAGGACCTAACGACTGGGCGGCCGTTTTCTTGGAATTCCGCGCGCGCTTTTGTGTTGTGGCATCGTTTAAATTTCAAATCGAGGCCCCAAACTGTCGCAGGCCAGACGCTCGCTCGCTCGCTCGTCCAACTCGTTCTGGTTTCTGGCTGCCCCACCTCCTGATCCTCCTGCTCCTGCTGCACCAGGGCAGGGCCGCTCATAATAATGACACGCCATTAACAATCTGGTGCCCCTCGAACGACGACGAGTCCTTTTGGCCCAAGCTCAAGATGAAGATGAAGATGAAGCTGGGAGACGATGCCCAAGAAGCTGCAGCTGAAGCTCCAGTTTAAATGGCACATTGCTGGCCCCGACTGCTTCCGTTGTCACGCCCCCTTTTTGTGGCATTTGTGGAGCGGTAGCGAAAAGCAGGAGAATGAGAAGGTGCAAGGAACAGGAGCAGAAGAAGGGGAAAGGGAAGGAACAGGAGCAGGAGAAGGAGCAGCAAGTGAAGGGGAAGCACACACCAGGCAGGTTGAGTGGTACAGTTGGGCCCAAGCTGCATCGCCTGCAATGGCATTCCGAGCATGTCAAATGGTCAGGGAGGAATCCACTTTCCACCATAATGGAAGAAATTTGATGAAATAGTTTTTTCTAGATTAATTTTTGCCTTTTAGGTACAGCTTTTATTATTTTTAGAATTGGGAATAATGCAATAGGTGTCTCAAGGCACTTTTGGGGCCGTTCTGGCCTGGGAATTTAGGGTCTCAAAGGTTTTAATAGAAGCCCAAAAATCTTGAAGGGATCTCTCCATCATCATTATCTTAGATCTTCAGTTAATAATGTACCTTTCTGTTCTTTCACTTTCAGACTCCGCTCCCTAAACATGGCTCGACTTGGTCCCATTTCCACCCTGATCCTCTGTTGTATTCTGTGCAGCAGGAGTATCAGCTGCAGCAGCATCTCCAGCAGCGACAGCAACGCCGCTCCCGCCGACCTGGGCGTCTTTTTCGAGCGAGCCCCCGAATCGGCGGTGGCGCCCAAGGGCGATGAGGTGGTCTTTGAGTGCGAACTGAACCTCAAGCCGGATCACCTGGAGTGGCGTTTCCGGCGCAGTGGCTCCACCGAGCCCTACCGCATTCTCAGCCCCACGGCCGGCTACAATGTGACCAGTGGAAGTGACGATCGTGCCTGGCGACTGCGCATCTATGTGAGTGCCCAGACCGCTGGCGACTATCAGTGCGTGGCTACCTATGGACCCGGGATCCTGGTATCCACCTCAGCTCGACTGGCGCTCGTTTCCATTACCTTAGAAGCATCAAGTCACGGCTCGGGCCGTGGCTCCATCCGTTGGAGTGTGGCGCCTAGGAACTGCATACTCATCCGATGCGGCGCCGTCATCTCGAATCCGCCGGCCATTTGGAGCTTTTACAAGAACGGCGAGAAGCTGCCGCAGTCGGAACTGCTGCCAGGAGCTTCGGGTGCCCTAATCCTGGACTCGGTGACGGGCAAGGATGCGGGTAACTACAGCTGTGCAGCCACCAATGCCATAACGGGCGAGGAGCTGAGGCTGCCGCAGGCCATCGAACTGAGGGTGGACTACACGGATCGCACGGCTCCCTTCTTCCTGCAGCGGCCGCCCTCAGAACTCTCTGCCCGTCCCGGCGAGACAGTGGTCCTGGAATGCCCGGGCGTGGGCTCGCCACGACCCGAGGCGGTCTGGAGCAGTCCCAATCTAACGCGGATTCATCACAACCGCAGCAAGACCCTTCCCTACGGCTTCCAGATCAGCGATGTGCGGCCCGAGGATCAGGGTTCGTATGTCTGCCTGCTGGACAATGGCATAGCACCGCCACAGGTGCACATGATCAAGCTGAGTGTCCTGGAGCGACCTATTATCCAAATCGGTCCGGCTGCCACGCTCACAAACGAGACGAGCTCCCTGGAGCTGGACTGCCGGGCCACGGGCAATCCCCAGCCGGAAATTTACTGGCTGCTCAATGGCCGAGATGCCAACGCCGATCCGGAGGCTAGAGTGTATGAACAGGGCAGGCTGCGGCTGGAGCGGGTGCAGAAGCGGCATGCCGGTGTGGTGCAGTGCTTTGCTAGGAATAGCTTGGGAGAGGTGAGTTTCAGGAGCCTTTCTTCTGGGTTTCCTGTTTAATTTATTTTTTTTGTTTGTCCAAAACAGACTAGCGAGGCCAACATGCTGCGTGTGAATCCCCTGGACATAAGCGGCGAGGAGGAGCCAATCCTGGGACCCTTTCCCATACGCCATGAGCAGTCGCCAGCCTCGACGCCTTCGGCAGGAACCAAGAATAAAGGCGGCAGGCGTAGACGTCCAGGTGAGTGGTAGTCTTAGATGAGCCCGGGATTCCTCTTAACCAGTGGCCACCATCAGCAAATAGGAGCGGGCACAGGCACAGCCTTGGCATCATTGATGACCCCCTTATTCCCCTTTTCCCAAGGAAATTCTTTGATTTTTTTAAGTTTCATTCGTGGATTAGCTGGCCACGCCCACTGTATTTTGTGTGTGTGTGTTGTGTGTGTGATTGATTTTTTGCGATTTACAATTAGTGATGGCTTAGTCGGTAATCTTGACCAGCGACGGCTTAAACAACCACCGCAGCCCCCTGACCCTGCGACAACTAAAAAAGAACCTAAAGAAATAAAAAAAAATGAAGGGAAACTGGGAGAGGGAATCGAGATAAAGGATGAGGGATGTGGGAACCAGGACAGAGGATGTATGTGTGGTTGTGGAAAGTTAGTGTTTCGATTTAGTTGTAGACCTAAGACTATAAGAACTAGAAGCCCCCAATGGTGAAACGGTCCAAGTAGGCATCCGTCTCCTCCTCCTCCTCCTCTTCGTCGCCATCCTCGTCGTCGTCGTCGTCGACATCGCTAATGTCCTCCAGGTCTCATGAGTTGGAGCACTTGCGCAGCTGCTCCTCCTCCTTCTGCAGGATGCGTATCTTCATTTTCAGCTCCTCGACCGTTAAGCGATGCACCTCCCGCATATACTTGAGCTCATCCTGCGCCTTGTTCAGCTCAATTCGCTTGGCCTCCGTGGCCAGCTGCTGCTCCTTGCACCGCAGCTCGGCCTCCCGGATCTTGAAGTAATTCATCCGCTCCTCAAAGTTATCAGCTGCCGCCGAGGTTGCATTTGTACCGTTGATACCTCCCAGACTGCTGGTGGTGTTGTTGCTCACCGAGGAGGTGTTGTTGTTGTTGGCACTGCCCGTTGAGGAGTTCATCGTTCCCGTGCTGGCCGGAGTCGAGGCCGTGGCCACCGGCACGGAAACGGCCGTTGGCACAGTTGTTGCCGCCGTGGCCGTTACCGTGGGCAGGGCGCTAAATGTAAAGGTGGGCGTGGCAGCGGTAAGTTGCATCTTAACAGCAGCCGCTGCTGCTGCCGCCTGTTGTTGTGCCTGCTGCTGGGCGGCGGCGGCCGCTTGTTGCTGCTGCTGGACAACCACAGCGGCGGCTGCCTGCTGCTGCTGCTGATGATGCACTGCGGCGGCCAGTTGCTGCTGCTGAGCCGCCGCCAGCTGCTGCTGGGCAAGCTGCTGAGCCTGCGCCTGGGCCTGGGCCTGAGCCTGGGCTTGAGCTTGGGCCTGCTGCTGCTGCTGGGCCTGGTATTGAGCCAGCGTGATCTGCTGGGGCTTAATCTCGCTGATGATCTGCTGGTTGTAGCCGCCGGCAGTGATGGTGGCCATCGTGTGCTGCTGCGCCTGGGAGGGTATCGTGTGGATCTGGGTGGCTGCAAAGAGGCAGAGATTTCATGGATTAGCTTCGAGTTGACCTTGAGAGGGACGGACTGCTTACCGGTTGCCTCGGCGGGATGCTTGATCTGCAGAATGATCTCCTCCCGGGGACGCGCCGTCTTGAAGTGCAGCAGATCGTTGAGGGTGAGCTTCTCGGCGCTGATCTGGTCCACGTTGATTTGGTGGTTATTGAGCATGTTGGCATTGGCTGCCGCCGCCACAGCTGCCGCCGCAGCGCTCACCTGCTGCATCTTTTGCATTTCGACGGCGGCGGCAGCGGATTGCTGCTGCTGCTGTTGCTGCTGCTGCTGCGCCTGGGCCTGAGCCTGCGCCTCCTGCTGCTGCTGCTGCTGTTGATCTATGGGATCATCATCCATCTCGCTCACATCGTTGGCGTCCATCTCGATCTCGTCGAAGTTGTCCGTCTGGGGATTGTGCTCGGAGGCGTCGGGGCTGATCTGGTACTCCGGCTCCACCTTGACGCTGTCGTGCTGGTGATGCTGCTGCTGCTGCTGGGTCACCGCTGTTGAGACGGACAGGGAAACGGTGGCCATTTTGGTGCTGCCAGAGCTGAGATTGGTGGAGCCGCCGTCTCGGTAGGGATACTGCTTGCGGAGTCTGTGCAGGATAAAGATAGAAGAGAGATGATTAGGCTGATTTTAGGGTGTAGCTTAAGAGTCAATCCCCACCTGGAGTTGAGCCAGAACTTCTGGATCTGCTTGACATTGCGCATGGCGCTGACATGCGGGTGCGAGTTGAAGTCGCAGACAATCTTGTCCCAGGTTTCCCGGACGGAGTACTTGTTGCGCTGCTTTTTCCGGTGCTTGATGTCGATGACCTCCTCGTGCAGGTGGAACAGGGTGTAGAGCACCTCCTTCTCCTCGGCGGTGAAGCGGGGCGTCAGCGGCAGCTGGCTCTTGTTGCTGTTGGCGCCACCATCTCCACCGCCGCCACCGTTGCTCACCACGACGCTGGCCTGGCCACTGGCACCTGCGCTACCACCTTCGGCGGAGGAATTACCGCTTGCGCCGCCGCTAGTACCGCCCGCTGGGGGGGCGCTGCCCCCGCCACTGCCATCGCCTTGAGCCGACATTTGAGTTTGTTTTGAGTTCGGCCTCGTTTTCGGACTCGAATTCGGAGTTCGAAATGCGCTATTGCACTCGTTTCACGTATACACACACGCCACCACACACGCACACAGACGCACACGCGAGCGCGCCCGTGCGTTGGTGTGCGTCAGTGTGAGTCTTTTTAGTCGTTGCTTCTGCTACTTCCCTCTCGCTTCCCACGACGGCTATGGCTATTGCTGCTGCTGCTGGCATACGGCCACCTATTGCACTTGATTTGAATTTCACTTGTGTCTATATCAATTGATCTCTCAAGCGCGCCACCGCGAATCGCCGCTTAATTGGCTAACAAACACACATTTCGCGCTGCCGCTCGCGCTTCTTGCTTAGATGTGCTGTTTTGTTCACTCACTCGAATACAAAAAAAAGAATTTGGCTCAAAATGCGACGAAGCGCTGAGTGTGCCCGATACTGAGTGAGCGCAAAATGGCGGCGAGTTGAGATTTTTGTTGCCTGGCTGGTCACACTCGCGGCGAGCTGTGAGTTATATATCGAATTATCGATAAATGATGAGTGAATAAAACGTGGTAACACTGGCCACACTGCATATTATAGCAACTTTTATTTGTAATTTTCTGAAATTAAGTTTTAATCATGTCTTATTTAAATACCTGCAGTCAACATGGTTCCGCCATCCCGTCCGAACGTGACCCGGCTGTCAGACGAGGCCGTGATGCTGCGCTGGAGCGTGCCGCAGAACCTCGGCCTCCCGATCATCTTCTTCAAGGTGCAGTACCGCAACCTCGGCGACGGCAAGTCCCGCCGCGAGGGCTGGCAGACGACCAGCGATAATATACCCTACGGCAACAGCCACGGCTGGCGGCAGCGCGGACGAGAGCGGAACCGGGATCGCCAGCGGGAGAGAGAGCGAGATCGTGACCAGCACGAAATGGGCAATGCGCCCAAGAACTTCACCTCGTCGGTGACTGGACTGGTGCCCGGCAAGTACTACCGCTTCCGGCTGGTGGCGGTCTACTCGAACGACGACAACAAGGAGGGCAACGCCTCGCTCAAGTTCCTGCTGCTGGCGGCGGGCAATGCCAAGTCGAATCTCCCCATTCCCGAGCTGCACGAGGTGGAGCCCGTCTCGGAGACGGCCGTCCAGCTGCACTGGACCCTATCAGCTTCTGCAGTGACCAGTGGTCAGGATATTGATGGCTACTATGCCTACTACAGGCCCGCAGCATCGGCGGCAGAGTACCTCAAGTCCACCGTGGACGGTGGACCCAGCAGAAGCTTCCGGATCGACCAGCTGCATCCGGGCACCACATACGAGTTCAAGCTGCAGTCCTTTAATGCCGACGCCGCCTCCGAGTTCAGTGCCATCAGGCAGGTGCGCACCAAGCGTAAGTCACCACCAAGAGCGTATAGGAAGACATCCTCCTAATCCTCCTAATTTTATTGCAGAGTTCCATGATCCTACGACGCCCAAGTCTCATGTGCCCGCCAATAACACGGCAGCGGGTGGCCAGCAGCAGAACTCCATTTACCCGGTAATTCTGGGAGCCTCTGGCGGAGCACTCCTGCTGCTCATAGCCGTGGTGTGGGCCTGCCTGTGCCTTAAGCGAAGGGACAACTCCCAGCCTGAAGGTGGGTCCTCCTCTAAGCTTTGCGTTGGGCCCATGCTAAGCCGCTTTCCTTTTCTTTTTGCAGACGAGAACAAGCCGCAATTGGAGCACATTCAAGCGGACTTTGTGACCTCCGCCGTGCTGGGCGTGGGCGGGCATCACAAGAGCGGCGATGTGCGTCGCCTCAACGGAGTGATTCCCCGCATGAACATCACGCCCAATCCGCTGGCCGGCCAGGAGGCGACCTCCGATAAGGTAAGCATCCTGGCGAGTCCGGTGCATCCGGCGAGTCCGCTTCCTCACAGTTTTTCATCCTGTTCGAAACACACGCAAAACTTTCGCTGGTTGGTTGGTCAAAATTATAATCCACCCCCCCTCGTATGTTGCCTCCGCCTCCTGGCTCTGTCTCTGTCCTGCTTGCCCCCTCTTCCTCTCCTCCCTCTCTGTCTCGCTCTGTTTCGCTGTCTCTGTCTCTTTCGCTTGCCACTGTGCCTAATCTCCGCCTGGAGTGGGCGATGCGTTGCATCCACTGAGCGTCCACTGTTCCCTAGAACCGCAACGTGATGGAGCTGCGTTTCCTCCCGCCGCTGGCGAACGGCAACTGCAATGGGCTTCCTAGGCAGGAACAGGAGCAACAACAGCAGGAACAGGCCGCTAAGATGGATGAGGAGGAGGAGCAGCAGCAGCAGCAGCACGAGGAGGAGGCGGAGCACGAGGTGTCCGAGCAAGAGGATGACGATTGCCCCGGGCCGGCGGCCGCCTCATCCTCCTGTGAAACCCTCGAGGCCTGCGACGAGGGCCTCAAGCTGGCCCTTCATCTGAGCCCCAAACTGCAGGCGGATCCGATCGTCCAGCTGGAGGCGCCCAGCAAGCCATTACCGCCGCTGCCGCTGCCCAAAAAACCAGCTTCCAATGCTGGCCAAGTAAGCCAGCAGAGAGCAGTTCGGTGTCCCCGGATAATAGCACCGAGAGTAGGACTCTGATTCCATTCGAAATTGCATCCAAATTGAGGCGGGAGACACTGGGTGCTATTACGGGGGACACCTGCTGTGATCCGTATACCCGGGAGGGGAGAGAGGCCCCCCGAGATTGTTTTGTCCACACCCCGACCAGCCATTCATTCATGCAGATTCACCCATGCAGACGCCTCCGCACCTGACCTGCTCACCCCCACTAACCCTCTTTTGTCTGTTCTGCCCTCCACAGAGCCATGTCCCGCATCAGAACGGCCTGCATCATGCCCAGCCCTACCATCCACCGGCCACGCCCACGCTGCTGCACAAGCGCCTGGACTACCATCACCAGCAGCAGCAGCTCCAGCACCAGCAGCCGCCACCGGTGCCGCCGCACTCCGCTTACTACCAGCAGGCGGCACCACCTGCCCATGTCCATGGCCACCAGCCATCGCCCATGCTGGAGCGGAGTGTAAGGAGCCTCCAGCAGCAGCAGCATCCCGGCTACCATTTGGAGGAGGCGGCGGGCACGCCCACGCCCTCGCGGATACCTTCCCTGCGAAGGCAGCGTCGCACCTCAGGCAGCCAGCACAACAGCCACAGCAATCTCAATCTGAGCCACCACAACAATAACAACAACAACCTGCCGCCACACCACCAGCACCTGCACCTACACCAGCAGCTGCACCACCAGCAGCAGCAGCAGCATCCCGGCCACGTGGGCATACCCATAGTGCCGGGCAGTCCGCGGGTTCAGCGCTCGCCGATGCCCAGTCGGGCGATGATCAAGCGGACGCGCCTGGGCAGCCACACGGACAACATCTCCTCGGGCAGCCTCAACAGCATCGAGGTGTGAGGAGAGCCAGAGCTGGAACAGGAACTGGAACTGCAGCTGGAGCTGGAGCTCCAACTAGGCTTAAGACGACGTGTATTATTAGGGATATTCGTAGGACAGGCTGGGGATGAGCTTAACTCGCACTCGAAGTAACCGGAAACCCACTCCCAGCTCAGCTAAAGAGGTTTAGGAATTTATTTGTTAACATCTGAGAGTAGATTTTAAGTAAAAACAGCCAAAAATTTTCAATTGAAGTGAAGTGAGCAGAGAAAAGACGAAGAATTCACCCGGCAACAGCTTGATCCCGGCCTGATAGTCAGTAGCCTTATTATTTGGCATCCTTTCTATTTTTTCTCTCTGTAATGTAGACTAGCCTAAGTAGCTTTTAGTTATTTATTGCAGCAAATGACTCGAATTAGCCAAGTTAAGTTCGTAGGCTAAGCACGCACTCCTAGAAGGCCTAGACAGCGTAAAAACCTAGGCTAAAATAGCTCGTAAGGCAACCGACTATCTAAACATTAACTCGCTGCGTATTTCCTACGTATTTGTGACTAACATCACGCCCCACACTGTATTCACCGCCTGCGCAGGACACGGAAGTCGCGGAAGCGCATCCTAAACTAGGCTTAAGACCTTAGAAAGCGTAATTTTCTAATAAAAATGGAAAAATTTTAATCTAAACCTTGTTTTATTGTATAATAGGAAAAGTAACATGGAATTTTGTCCCAATATTGCAATATAGCTAAATGAGCATCACTGGCAGTAAGTGAGATGCCATTTTGTCCCAATAATGCAATATAGCTAAATGAGCATCACTGGCATTAAGTGAGATGCATTTTTGTCCCAATATTGCAAAATAGCTAGATGAGCATCACTGCCACTAAGCCAGATTTGATTGCCTCCCAATATAGCAATATAGCTAGATGAGCTAAATGAGCATCACTGGCAGTAAGTGAGATGCCATTTTGTCCCACTAATGCAATATAGCTAAATGAGCATCACTGGCATTAAGTGAGATGCATTTTTGTCCCAATATTGCAAAATAGCTAGATGAGCATCACTGCCACTAAGCCAGATTTGATTGCCTCCCAATATAGCAATATAGCTAGATGAGCATCACCGCCATTAAGCCAGATATTATTGCCGCCCAATATTGCAATATAGCTAGATGAGCATCACCACCATTAAGCCAGATTATACTGCCTCCCAAAATTGCAATATAGCTAGATGAGCATCACTGCCACAAAGCCAGATTATACTGCCTCCCAAAATTGCAATATAGCTAGATGAGCATCACCGCCATTAAGCCAGATTTTACTGCCTCCCAAAATTGCAATATAGCTAGATGAGCATCACCGCCATAAAGCCCGATTTTATTGCCCCTAATATTGCAACATATAGCGAGATGAGCATCACTGATGAACATGAGCATCACTGACATAAAGCCCGATTTTTCGTCCCCCCAATATTGAAATATAGCCAGATGAGCATCACTGATGCAGATGAGCATCACTGATGCAATTCTTAAAATTTGACCGCTTTCCAAACTGGGGTAACAGGAGAACAGAAACCAGCAGCAAGCAACTGAAAACTGTTATAAACTGTTATAAAAAACTTTGGGCCACGAAAGACGTGCCAGTGTGACCATATTGTACATTTTGTCTGATACAAAAACAGCTGGTCACACTATCTTTTTAAATTCTTGGCGGTTAACCCGGGTTTCAAACCCGAAAACTTAAATTTCATGACTAGCGCCACCTATTGGATATTCTATGAACCTCTTTTTAGATCAATATTTTAGTACAATCCCTTTTAGCCTAGACTCAAACCACCTTTTAAGTCCATATATTTTACCTTTTGGCGGAAACTTATCGTATTTAAAAATATTGTCTTCAAAACCTATCGATATAAATTATGCAATCGAATTCAAATTAAGCCGTTAAATTGTATTTTATTTTTATTTTTTATTTATTTCATATTTTTATTTTTTGCTGTGTGACCATCTTGTGTGGCCAGCAAAGTTTCCCTATCTTGCTTTAGCAAGGTTCCCAACCTATCCAACCATTTTATAGCAACAGTGTGACCAGTCCGATTTATTTGTATAAAAGCCAAGCCCAGCTTCTGAGCTTGATGGATTTCCTAAACTGGTCATACTGCCACCGAAAACCTCATTTTGGCTCAAGTTTATTATTATTGTTATTATTCCGAGGCTTTTATAACATTAAAATCCCAAAATACCAACTATTCTGAGCTTGGAAGAACTCTACCATCTGTTGGGCATCTAGTGGCATACTGACATTTGGGTAAAACTCTGGGAAAACGGCAACAACATGAACTTCTTGCGGCAAACTTTCGGCATTACGAAACAATTGACGACGCTGGGTGAGTTTTAATTGCGATATTTACGAATATTGATGATTGTTTTGGTTTATAGTCCCCCGTACACTTCATGACTTTGCGGATTTTAACAACCCTTTTCACGCCGCGGCAGCGATCGAGGCAGCAGCGTTTGTTTCCCCTTCCCCCCCCCTCAGGCCTTATCTTTCTGGCACTCGAATTTTCATTATAGCCGCCGCCGCTGCTGTTGATGATTTTCCAGTGCGCGTGGCCGGCTCACTTCTGCCGGCCTGCGAATATTTTCCTTTCGACTTTCACATGCACATTCCCGCGGCCTCCACGGCTGCTTCTTCCGCTTTTAATTGGAAAAAAGGGGAAAAAGTAGAAAAATTAATTGAAAAAACAGGGAGACCTGTCACTCCAAAAGGGGCTAAAGGCGCTGACCACACAAGATCGCACAAACAACCGCAAAAAAGGACGCAGGTGTGGTTATCGTTCCATTGTTCTTGCTCCTTTTTTGCATATGTATAATCCTGCCTTACCTGCGCGGGTGTGCGTGTGTGTGTGGCATTTGCAATTATTATTTATTTTTATGTTTGCATTTGGTCGCTAGAAAGGACACTGGACATGGTTTGGCATCTCGGGAAGGGGGAATTGGTTAGGGGAAAGGCTTGGTCGGGTAGGAACTGCTTTCCAGTGGGATCGATCGCCGCCTGCGCGTCATTTGGCCGCAATTATTGGTGGAATGGAAAAGCAGCATAGCTGAAACTGTGCGAGAGCAAGCAATTGCCGATTTTCACAGGGATTAGCCACAACAAAGGAGGCAGCCAGCAAAAACGGGCATTGTCAATCACTGACCAACTGTCCCTCCACGGCTGCGTTGACCCTTTTGTCCACTTTTTCTCCTCTGCGGAGGGTACAGTTGTGTGTCCTGGGCATGGATCATCGGGAATCGCTTGATTGGCAGCCTTTATATATAGGTTTATATATTCCGATAGTGGAAATAGCAAGGCAAGGGGTTTGTTTTCGGCGATCACAGCTTGTTTCAGTGCTCATTGCAAGCACTTTTCCCTTGTGGAATGGTGTTTCCATGATCTAATTGAGTTGGATAAAAGTTAAGCAGTTTAAAGTTCCTACAAAATAAAATTTTTTATGATATAATTTAGGTATTCCTTAGAAATATCTACTATTTTTCAAAGATCTAGCCATAAGGTACTGATTCTAAGGGTTTTCCAAGTTGGTCTTATTTTCCTGATTTTCCAAAAACTAAAATGATCATAACTTGCTCATTTCTTAACCGATTTAGGTTTGATTTAGGTTTTTATGCTGCTTTTATTGAGCTAATTAATTCTGCATTTAACGTTTAAAATGTTAAAAAAATTCATTTTTCTTCATTTTTTCAATATTTTAATGATGTAACCCCTTATAAAAATGTAAAAAATCGAAAAAAATTTTATGTTTTATATTTTCAAAATTCTAAAGCCATTTTATAGCCCTGAAAAATAGCAACTAGTAAATGTATACACTTTCAGTTTACTATTTATTTCAAGCATTTTATGGGCTCTGGAATACCTGAAAATTCCTTAAATTTATATTAAAAATATTACTGTATATTAAAGATAATAAACAAATTTAAAACATAAAATATATAAAAATATATATAGCTTCCCTTAGCCTATAAAATACTCATCACAAACTCGGCTTTCCTTAGAATTTCCCTTACTATAATTCTTTTAAGAAAAATTCCCCCCTAATTCCCTAATTTAACTTGCTCCTTGCAGCCATCCAAAGCAGCTATGAGACCGCCATGCGCGGCATGGCCTCCCTGCAGCAAATGCACCGCGCCGGACCCCATATCAAGACGCGTCCGCCCCGCCAGCCGCTGGATGGCAAACCATTTGCCAAGGGCGTCGTCCTCAAGACACTGATCAAGAAGCCAAAGAAACCCAATTCGGCGAACCGCAAGTGCGTGCTGGTGCGCCTGTCCACCGGCAAGGAGATGGTGGCCTACATACCCGGCATTGGACACAATCTGCAGGAGCACAACATCGTTCTGTGTCGTGTGGGACGCCTGCAGGATGTGCCCGGCGTCAAGCTGAAGGCAGTGCGTGGAGTCTATGACTTGGCGCATGTCATCAAGAAGACGCAGTAGTAAGCTAGACTCTATCCTTCTTCTGATCCTGCTCCTGCTCCCAAGTCACCTTGTACCATAGACAATAAATGCGTAACCACAAGCCAACGTTGTGTACTTATTATTGTTTGTTTTTTATGGAAAATTATGCAGCTCAGCCCGGCTTAAGGCGGTTGTAAGCCGCGACAAGTGGACAGGGAACAGGAAGAAGAGCGGCCCTGCCCAGGAGATCTACGCTAGCATACTTGGGATGCTGGCTTGCTGTGTTCCCTGCTCGTAATCTTAAGTCAACAGGGCCAACGTCACGTCACTTTCTACCTAAGCAGAAGGAGATGGAGATGGAGATGGAAAAAAGGTTTTAACGGAATTTTTACGCTTTACACTGCTAAATCCTTTTGCCGGAATCTTGTTGCTTTTTAAAGGAATTGCCAAATTTTCTGCCAAATAATCGTTAGCTGAAATGGGCGTCGCCCGTCAGCGCCCACTCTTGGCACTTGGCTCGTTGGATAATTGAGAAATTCAATAGAAAATCCAAGTAGTAGTTGGCTATCTTTATCTGTATTTAGTTTTCCAGTCGTTCTTGGTGTAGGAGGAGCTCCTGCAGAGAATGACTGCTGAAAATTAGCCAAGAGAATTGAGTCTTTGAGGGAGCTTAGCTAAGAAGGAAGAATGTGTAATGTTGAGAGGGCTTTTTTGACTAGGAATTGGTATAGTAATTTTAAAGGATTTTTAAAGCATTAATTTTAACAATTGATAACTTGATTGAGTTATTATATGATTTTTAAGGTATTATCCTTTATATATAGTTGGAGAATATAATATAGGGTAAGCATAAACTTACATATTTGAAGAATATTCTGTTTTAGTAGCTAAAAATCTCGTTGATTTAATATATACAATTAATTTGGAATCATTTCTGAGTAAAATACTAATATTTCTTGCTAAAAAAATCGCTCTAGCTTAAGGATAATGCCTGCCCATGTCCTTGTATCAATAATTTTAATTATATTAATATTCTACATTAATTTAGGTTAATTTTTAATGAAAATATTAATATTTTAAATTAATTTAGAATCATTACTAAGGAAACTACTACAATTTCTTGCTAAATTAAACCTTCTAGCAGTTCCTGCATCAAAATAATAACATTTTAAATTAATTTGTGATAAGTTCTAAGGAAAATATAATTATTTAAAATTAATTTGGAATAATTTCTAAGGAAAACACTAATCTCTCTTGCTAAATAAAATCCTCTATGCCTTTTGTCCTTGCTTCAAAAGTCAGCAATTACTAGACGTATTTGCACGGATGTGTCGGCCCGAATCAAAGTGAATTATTTGGGCTGACCAGGCCCAGGATTCGGCATTAACCCATCCGCAATGTCACAGTCCCAGTCACAGGAACAGTCGCCAGGAACCCGAAACAGTTAAGCAAACACCTCAGCTAAGGATACGTTTTATGTAAGCCGACGGACAAGACGAGGCTGTCGCCATGAAGAAGGCAGCCACGGCCATGGATGGATGACATTTGCAAGCGGTGACCACAGCGGTTCGCTTCCTCCTACTTCTCCTCCAGACATTGTGTCAACAGAAGAGAGAGCCTGGTAGTTACCGTTAGCCGCAGGTCCTCTGCTGCCTGATTGAGCCATTATGACACTAGTGTGGGAGTAGGAGAAGGGCAGGACCTTTGTTTCCCTTTTCTGCTGAGTCAAGTTGTCCAACATTCACCGGGCCTCGCCCTTGTCCACCGAGCGTGCATAATTTTTATCAATAAAAACTGCATTGTCCGGTGTCCAGAAGAAAACACATACGATAATCGTCCTGTCTTCTGGCCAACTTCCGTTGAATCGCCGAAGGATATTAGCCGCATACCTTTGGCTTTCTTCGTCTTCGTTTTCTTTTTGTCTTTGGTATTAACTGTAAAATTTGGCAAATGAAAAATGATTTTTCCAACTGGGCAACTGGACAATCATTGCCGCGTTCACACGTTTGTGGCTTGGCTAAAAATGAGTTGGCAAAACATCTGGGAAAAATGCGGCAGTCAAAAGTCAGAAGTTTCTTCTTCCCTTTTTTTATGTCAAACGAATTGTCCGTTTCGAATTCGTATTTCTTCAGCTTAATTATTGGGACAATTGAGTTGTATTTTGGAGGGGATTTCTATTTTTAAGAAGGATTTATTTGAAATGGATGAAGGAATGGAAGAACTGAGACGGAGCTTAATAATTATATTGATATTGAAAGTCCTTTGAGAAAAAGAAATATAAATGGAAGGGAAGTAGTTTCGAGAGCTCTGTATTTTATTTTCTAGGATAAGAGGAAGCTGGAAATATAGGGTTAATGGCAAAGACCAAAGGATTTCGGCTTCGCCTTTTATTTACTACTTTATCTTTGGATTTTGTTTATTTTTTATAGAATATATAGAAAAATATAAATGATATATATTGTGAATAGTGCTATAGAATTATAATCTTAATTTCAGGTTAATAATATTTATATTTATATATGTATATTTAAAATTATATACATTTACAGCCGAGTCGATCTAACTATTTTTTAAACAAAAACAAATTTTACTCAATTTTTGCAAAATGTTATAAGGGGTTACATTGTTAAAACTGTCAAAATTTTTCAGAAAAAAATTAACTATGCAAAATTAATAACCTATTAAAAACTAATATAAAACAACTTTCTGAATTCAAATTAATGTCTCTTTGGCTAAGTTATGGATTTTTAAAATCTTGGTTATTTAAAAAAATTATATAAAATTAAAGGTAAATATTTAAATTAAATTAAAAATTTTTTAATTTTAAAAACCAACTCAAAACAGCATTTCGAGTGAATTTAATGCATTTTTGTCTTCGATTAATTCCAATTTTCAATAAAATTTTTAAGAAAATCTTGCTGAATTCAAATAAATTCATTTTTTTCATAAATGAAAAAAAAACAAAATTTTAATAAGCAATTAAAATTCACATTTCAAGGATATACCAACTTCTGTTTCATCTTCATTTCCTGTTTAACTTTAATATTCTTATTTAAGACCAATTTTAACCCCAAAAAGTCATTCAACTTTGGTACAGACTGTACAGAAACAGCTACAGCTACAGATTTTCCCCGCCTCTCAGTGTATTTTGTGGCCTCCACAATTGGATTCCGCATCTCTGAGTGCCTCCCTGCCCAGTATTGAATCAATTTATATCTAGCAGATCTGAATTTCTGGTCAATTTTGCGGCCAAAGGGCTTTAATTGTTCCTGTTTGCGGCAGACGCAGACGAAAACCCTTTCCCGAAGGAGCAACCCATGTCCAATCGAGGAAAACGGAGGCCAGAAGCTTGAAGTTATTGCAGAAAGGGTAACGTCAGTGCTTGACCAAACGTTTTATTTAATCATGGACACGTGTTCCATGAGGGGTGGATTTTGCAGCGGGGCTGACTCTGGAGACCACGTTCCACCCTTGTGCAACCCTTGCGTGATGGGAATCTCGTAATGCCAACAAAATCAAATCAAAATGGCGGCGAATCGATGCCGAAAATCCCATCATCGATTCCCAATAAAAATTGTGTGGAAAGTCCACAGGGAATCATACAGGAGATCAGCCGCAGGATCGCAGAATCGCAAAATCGCCGAGTTTTCTTCAGGAGAAGAATGGCCTAATTGGCATCTTGTTGTCTTTGTGCTGGACAACAATCGAGATGTCAAGTGTGAGCCAAAATAATGATGCATAACCTTGTCTTGGAGATGTTGCGGCCGAGATTAAGGATTATCCTTTCGGGAACATCATCATAATTTCCCTGTAATCGATCGAGAGTAAAAGATCAGAGCTGACAAAAAAATGCTGGAAGAACGACGGGCGTTCCTAACCGCACAAAAAGGATCTGAGTCCTGTTTCGGTCTCTCTCTCTCTCTCTCTCTCTTTCTCTTCCTCTGTGTTTGTCCTGGGCCACGTGCAGAGCACACTCCAATCACAATTCAGGGAGGCGAGAAAAACTAAAAGGGCACACGATCGCCGCCAGGTGAGAAGGCGAAAATGTCAATCAGGATTCGCATATCCCCGCGTGATCGGCGACTTTTATTTTGTGTGCGATCGGATAGGAAAACTCTTTTGATTCGCCAGGATCGGCATGGAATCAGCCCTCTCCGATCTGTGTTGACATTTTGCCGGGGGAAATGTGTTTGCTCATGGCCCTAATCCAGTCCCTTTTGGGGCGTCACGATCAAGGCCTCGATTGACAATCCTTTCTAGGGATTCGGCGATCCAGCGACTGGCTATAAGCGTGCGATCAGCACGTGGCGGTGTCCTGGGTATCGCGGAACCCGAGAGATGGAGGGGATTTTATTTTAAAAATAAAGTTGAAGGTTTTCCTAAAGATTTTATTTTACTAAATTTAAAAGAACTTTAATTGTTCCCAATTAAGTTGGTAATAAATAATATAACAAGAAAGAAAGCTAACTTTGGCCAGCCAAAGTTTGTATAGCCAAAAATGCATTAATTTCGATTCGGAAAGCAGTTTTGAGTTAGTTTTTATTAATTTAAAAAAACTGCATACCAAATTTAAAATTTTAAGAAATCAAAATTTTTGGCCATTTTTGCTAATTTTAATGGTGTTACCCCTTATCAAATTTCGCAAAAATGGCCAAAAAATCGATTTCTTCCGGACATGTCTAGAAAGATTCCCCTGTTGATGCTGAGCAAGAATATATATGGTTTATGGGGTCGGAAATGATTCCTTGACTTAGAAAAATATTATTTTGTATTATAAAATCGGATTTTTTATATTAAAAAACTTCTTGATTTTTTTAAAATTAAAAATACCATAACTCGGCCAAGAGCATTAATTTTAAATCGGAAAACAGTTCTGTGCAAGATTTTCTACAGTTAATAAATCTGCATACTTCATTTAAAAATTTTGAAAATTCAATTTTTTATCAAAATCAAACATTTTAATGATGTAACCCCTTATAAAATTTTGCAAAAATGGCCAAAAAATCGATTTCTTCCTGACATATCTAGAAAGATTCCCCTGTTGATGCTGAGCAAGAATATATATACTTTATAGGGTCGCAAACGTCTCCTTCATTGCGTTGCAAACTTCTGACTGAAATT